AATAGTGCTAACTTTCAGCATGATCCAAATTCACTGCGTAACCTGAAGGTAACATCCTGTAATCAAGGACGGGAGCAGAGTAAACACTTAAACCCCATCCACCTCTAATTTGCTTTTCACATACATCACAGAGTATGCAGAGGCCAGGACAGAAATGCAATCTCTATCTACCGGCACAAAGTGAACTAGCAATTGAAATAGTTACTCAACCAAGTCAAGCCTAAAATTTCATCCTTACCTCAATTTCCCAATGATTGCTTGGGTTATCTATAGACTCAAAAAGATAGGGGTACTCTTTCTATTGATCATTGTTGGATCAGCTGGAAAGTGTCTTCGCAATAACTGATTTATAGCTGTATGGTTTCTTCAAACGTAACCCCTAGGAACCAGTGGAACTGAACATATTTGTTCTATATCTAGTTTCACTGCCTTGTGTCTAACTGGTAATAACGGTCCACTTAAATTCCAGAATATTCAGTAAAAGTGGCACAGTTGGAATTGTATGTAATCGTTATGGAATCTATATGATAGTAATAATGACACCCTTCATTGAGAGCTTTGTAAGTGATTGATCATGTTCAGGGACTTTAAAATAGAAGATACATTAAGCCATTTAATCCTCACTATAACTATAAAAAGAAGGTATATTCCCATCTAGTTTAGAAAGCTAAAGCATAAAGTATCTTGTCCACTTGTGGTAAGTGGTGGAACCCGACTACTAGGTAGCCACCAAAAGTCATGTTTCAAAGATTATTTAATGATGGGGGAAATGCTCACCATTTAATAAAAAAAGAGAACACAAACTTACATGTCTTACATGTGTGTCTGTATCTCATGCATACATAGACACATATACGATGACATTTTACTGAATATATATATATATATATATATATATATATGGGGTTAAAAGTCTGAAAGGTAATGTACTCGATTGTTAACAATTCAGTAAGGTGATGGGTGATTTTGTCTTCTCTTTCAGTATTTTTCTATGATTGCCAAAATTTATTAGAATAAACATGCATCATTTTGAGAGTCAGAAAAAAGCAATAAAAATGTTAAAAAAAATTGTTCCAGAAGCTATATAGAAAATTTAAACAGACAAATTTCCATAAAATAAATAAAAAGTCCAAGAGCTGTCCTCCTAAAACAACTTAGAATTTATTGACTTACAAAAAGTTCTATAATACTTCAAGGATCAGCGAATTCCAGGGCTGTTTAAAATGCTCTAGAACTGGGCTGTCCGATGGGGCTTTCTATGATGATGAAAGTGTCCTATCTATGCTGTATCTATTCTAGTAGCCACTAGAAATGTAGCTAGTATGACTGAGGAGCAGAATTTTACATTTTATTTTATTACAATTAATTTAAATTTAAATAGTCACGCATGGCTAGTGACTACCATGTTGGACACTGCAACTCTGGACTATAGAAAATGGAGGAAAATGTGCAAATTCTTCTTATAAAACCAGTATAGCCCTTACCTAAACATGATAAAAATGTAAACTATGGACAAATTTCACATGTGAATATCAAGGTAAAAAATAAATAATGTACCACATAAGATATGATCAAATCAGTCTAGCACACATTAGAGGATTAGCATGTACTGGAAATTCAGGATGGTTCAATATTAGGAAATCCATTAATTTAAACCACTCCTATTAACAGATCAAAAGAGAAAACCCAGACTACAGCTCTTGCAAAGGCATTTGTTAAAATTAAAAGTACATTCTTGATTAAAACTCTGAATAAAACAGGACTATGTTGACATTTATACAACATGTTAAATATATATCTTAACCTAGAAGACTGCATGGGGAAATAAGAAAATTGAGAAATGATAAAAACGATCCATTAAACTCAGAATGTTCCCATTAAATACTGAATGAAGAGTAATATGTTCACTATTACTACTACTACTTTAGTTGATTCTGGAGGCACAAGTCAGTGAAGTTAGATAACAGAGAAAAAAAGGAGTTTTAAAATTTGAAAGAAGTAAATTATCATTGATTGCATATTATTAGTATAATCCTGATAAACTGATACAAACAATCACAAGTACCACAATGTAGTGGTTAAGAGCATACACTCTGAAGCCTTGCTGTTGGTTCAGCTGCTGTCTCTATTAGTAACAGGCTGTGTGACCTTGGGCAACTTATTTAACCTCTGTTTCCTTCTCTGTAAAATGAAGAAAACAGAATTATCTGCTATAAGCCTATTAAGTAGGTTAAGTATGTAAATATATAGAGAGCTCTTACAACATGCCTGCATTTAATATATACTATATAATATCACTATTATTAAGGTAATAATAATAATTTAAAATGATAATAAGTTATAAAATACATAAATTACTAAATAATAATAATGTACAAAATAAACAAAAAATCAAAAGACTTCCCGTATGAAAAAGGGGATTTCATTTATAATTGCAACACAATGACCTAGGAATAAACATAAGAAGAATGTGCAAGATTAAATGAGGATAGTTTGAATGCTATTAGGGAACAAAAAGGATAGCTGAATAAAGGGAAAACATATACTACACTTTGATAGGAAGATTCAACATCAGTAGGTTATAAACTCCTTCTAAATTATCCTATAAATTAAAAATCTAGCTAAAAGTGATTCTAAAATCATATAAACATGAAAAAAGTGAAAGAGCAATGAAAGAAGATTAGCATGAACAGATATGAGACATTATGGTGCTAAAACATTCAAAACAGTATGATATTGCAACGTGAATAGACAGATTAAAGCTACATTTTATAGAGCATAGAAACAGAACCGAATACATATGGGGCTTTAATATATGCTAGATGGGGGAGGGTTCTGCATATGAGAAGGAAAAGATTAATTATTCAATAAATACCAGTTACAAAAACTGGTAGGCAAGCTAAAACAAAACTAATGTTGGCTCTGTACTTGATTCCTTACACTGAAATAAATAAGTTCTCTGTAGATTAAAGTTTTAATCATAAAAGTGAAATTAAAAAAGCAGTGGATGAAACCATGAGATACTGTTTTTCTACAGTCTTGGGCTATAGAAGATCTTATTATATAAAACTCAGGAGCTATAAAAATTGATAAATTCAGTTATGTAATACCCCCAAATTTCTGCATGGTAAAAAGCTCCAAAGATAAATCAAAGACAGTGACAACTTGGGAGGAAAAACATGGAATCTGTAGGATTCCCCAAAAAAGGGTTAACTGCTCTGACCAGTAAAGAGCTTACACACATCAGTACGATGTGACCAACAGCTCAATTGAAAAGTGGTCTAATAATGTAAGCAGATACTTCATAGAAAAAAAAAAAAAATCACTTTTTTCTATTTTATGTTATTTGTGATAAGAAAAATGTGATACCATTTTTAACTTATTAAATTGCATACAACAAAAAAGCTGTAATATCCATTTGGTGAGGATATGCGTAAATAGTGTTTGTCATTAGTATATTGTTGTATATGTTAGCATAAGCAGTATTAAATTAATACTCTACTGCATGAATGTCATTTATATTAGTATAAACAGTATTACTATATTGTTGGTTAATGTATAAATTGGTTCAACCTTTCTGGCAGACAATTTGGCAGTATCTATTATAGTTTAAAGTACACATCCTATTGCCCTAGCTATAAAACTTCCAGAATTTACCATACAGATATACTCACAAATGTGTTGTGTCACGTGTACATGTTTGTGTGTGTGTGTGTGTTTTGTTTTGTTTTTTGGTAAGAGAAAACATGTCCATTAATAGGAGCTGGTTAAATAAATGCGGCATATGCAGAAAATAAAACATTACATAGCATACCTCGCTTTATTGCCCTTCACAGATACTGTGTATTTTACAAATTGAAGGTTTGTGGCAACCCTGCATTGAGCAAATCTATCGGCACCATTTTTTCTGGTAGCATTTGCTCTTTGTGTCTCTGTGTCACATTTTGGTAATTCTCACAATACTTCAAACTTTTTCATTATTACTATATTTGTCATGGTGATCTGTGATCAGTGATCTCTGATGTTACTATTGCAACAAGATCACGATGAGTTGAAGGTTCAGATGATGGTTAACATTTTTTAGCAATATTTTAAAATTAAGGTACATACATTGCTTTTTTAAGACATAATGTTATTGCACATTTAATAGACTATAGTATAGGGTAAACATAACTTTTATGTGCACTGGGAAACCAAAAAATTCCTGTTGACTCGCTTTATTGAGATATTTGCTTTATTGCAGTGGTCTGGAATGAAACCCACCATATCTCCAAGGTCTGCCTGTACAGTTATTAGAAATGAGAAGGCAGCTTGGATTGAGTGTTGATAAGAATGAATCTCCAAGATGAAGTGAGAAATACTGGTACAGAGTTAAGTGTGCTATCATTTGTTTAAAAACACACATATACACACACACACACACGTTTGTAAGCATATAAAATATCCCTGGAAGGGAAGATATTCCAAGGAGAAGAACTGCTTAATTGAGGGACAAACATGGGAAAGCAATTACTTTTCACCGTATACCATTTTGTACCTTTTCCATTTTATACTATGTGTAGGCACTGTCTGTTCCAAAATTAGTTGTTTTTTAAAATACCTTTTATTTTTTGTCTCCTTCTGTTCACAAGGAGGACATCCTGGCTCTTTCCACATTATGTTGATACAATTAGCATAATCTCAGCTCCCTTCCTCTTTCTCCCTTTATTTTGTGCTTAAATAAATAAATAATTGCCCCCCAAATAAGCAATAGGAACGTGGGACAAAGCACTTCCGTGTTACAGAACAATGTTAGCAAAACATCAAAATATGTGTACTTGGAAAAGATCTGAAAAACTATACAGTAAATGTTAACAGTGTTTATCCTGAGTGGGGGCATCATAGGTAATTTTGGTTTGGGTCTTGGTATTTTCTGTGATTTCCAAAGTTTACACAATAATATGTCTTATTCTGGTAATAATTTTTAAGTTTTTTTCTTTTTTTAATTTTCTGCTACTCACCTGGTTCCTGTCCCTGGCATTTGCATATCGAAACCTCTGGATATAATAGAAGACCAGCCAGGCGAGGGAAATGATCATCAAGACGATGAAGGAGATGGAGACAAACACAACCGAGGTGCGGCTCACATATTTCTGCAAGTTCCGGGTTCCGATGGTGATGTACATCGTCACGGTGATGTTTCTCTCCAGCAGGCTTACTATCTCCTTCCCTTTGGGCTCAGGAATCATTATTGCCACGATGTCTTCTACACCTGTTGTGAGAGGGACAACAGGGTAAGGGGATGAGAGAAAGAGAAAATCACAGTGAAATGTCTGGACAAAGGAACGGGCACCAAATAATGCCACTTCTTTCAATGATTCTATGCCAGATCAAACAGCCAAGTCTAACTCTCAGATCTAATAGCCCGAAATGGAGTTGAATTTTCTCTTTCTTCAGCTACCTTGGGATGCTGCTATCTTGTATATGAGAAAAGAACCTAAAACAAACTCGTGATTTTGGTACCAGCGAGGTCATGATGGTGCTACTTTCTAGCCCCCTAAGGTGGTGTTGACCCTGGTCTAGTAAAGGGTAGACCCTTCCCAACCGGCCTAGGTTACAGTTCTATGTTGCATTTCACAGATCCCCCCGAGGAGAGGAAAAAGCACTTTGTACCCCATGGCAAAGGATAAAATGCCCAGTTTTATGTCATCTGTCTCTGAGTTCTCTCTTTCCCATGGACACTAGGGCTACTCAATTACAGATTTCTACTAATCACTCCCAAGGCCGTTTTCTCCTACAGTGAGTACCGAAAGCAACCCCAAAGTGTATTAAAACATAGTTGATTTACAACATTATATTAGTTTCAGGCATACAGCATCGTGATTCCGCATTTTTATAGATTATTCTCTATTATGAGTTATTACAAGATAATGACTATAATTCCCTGTGCAATACTATACGTCCTTGTTGCTTATCTATTGTATACATAGTAAGTAGTTTGTATCTGTTAATCTCATACCCCTAATTTGCCTCTGCTGCCTTCTGTCTCCCCTTTGGTAACCACAAGTTTGCTTCCTATATCTGTGAGTCTGTTTCTGCCAAAGGAGTCTTCTTAACAAGCTCTAATACGACCGGCCAACATAAAATAATGGTCTCAGAATTATCTTCTGCTTATTTTACCTAACTCAATATAAACAGTTTGTGTATTCTCACGCCAAGCAAAGGGAGGATAGAGGCTGTATGGATCGTTCCAGGATGGTTTTACCTCCACTCTCTAATACTCTCACCGCAAAGTGTCTTACTGGACACTTTGAAGCAGAAGTGGTACCTTTCTTCAGTCTGAGTTATCTGGGTCATTGTCCCTGTTCTTCATGACACTCTGAGGCACAGTCTCTTGGTGAGGAGTTCAGGGGCCTCTGTAAGGGGTCTTGAGTAGGATTTGATATTAGCTCCAAATGAGCCTACTCGACATGCCACCGTGGTTGATGCACAGATTAGAACATCAGTTTCCCTAGTTCTCAGGGATCACCCCAATTCAAACCCATGCCTGCAACGTTCTTTATGGGCCCCACTTCGACATGGAAATATCCTATTACTTGGGGTTACTACAAATTAAAGTACAAATTTACAATTAGGGTATAGATTCTGGACAAAAGTAAACACCACTTCAGCTGCTTAAAGCTGGCCTTATTCACGTGCTGAGGTCAGTCAGCGAGATGGAACGACCAGATTATATCTGTTCAGGGTGTTGCAAGTCTCTTAGAAGTTATTTAGGGCTTTCACTTGACCTTGATTCTATGCAGTTTTTCCATCCTAAATTCTTTGATGGTATTTCACTTAGGCTGAATGAATACTTTTAAAAGCTAACTAGATACAATGGTGTCTGTGTATGAGACAACAATTATATGATTTTTTAAATTCCTAAAACCTTTGCACTGGCTCAACCGTAAAATCACAAAACTACACAGTGTTTAGATTTGGCTGTGATTTCTGGGAATTACTGAAACTGATGGCTTAGATTTCAACTTTGCAGAATTTACTGACAATTCTGATGCTTGTTCTCTCATCATGTTTGCTTCAGCTAATGGTTGCATGTGGTCTGAGGTTTCGTGAGGAATTAAAGCTGCTGGAAGGTTTTGTCTCTACAGAAATATGATCCTCTTTGCATACTGGATTAATCTGGTCTGATGAAGCTCATCCCAGTGCTGTAGGCACTTTGTAGATATTTAATCAGTGACAGAATCCTGAGTTTTCATTTTATTTTTTTATTTATATTTTTTATGTGTGTCTATTCAAGGCTCCAGAATGAGACTTTTTTTTTTTTTTTTTTGAGGATGAGATCTTGGGGTTATTTATATAAGGCTCTGTATGCTCAGACTTGGGCAAGTTTTATACTTTTTAGTAGTCAACTTATCAATATACTCCTCTATGGCATCGTTTTGATACTCTGCTTAGGAAGCTCTTCTCCACCAAAGATGATAGAAATACTCATCTAAAATTGCTTATCCAAACCTTAAATGTAGTTTTATTTTTCCATTTAAATCTTGAACAATCTGAATGTGATTCAATAACAACACATTTATTGAGCTCCTATAATGTGCTGGGCAGAAAGGAGACAGATAGGATGCAATTTATTTTTCCCCTAAATTCTCAGACATATATTGTTGTCTACTTTTGGATTTTTTTTTAAATTTTATTGTAAGATGAGTCTATCTTTCGCTGACCAATACCAGGCTCTTTGGGTTGTGGAGCTGTTAACATATTTACTATTTGGTAGCCTAACCCTTTCTTCACCAATTTCCGCCCCTCCTGGCAAAACAACGCTCCTATTATCTCCTTAATTATATTAAGAGACCATAGAGAGTAACAGTGAAGAATTGGGCTCTGGAACTGGACTGTTTTTTCAAACTTCAGCTCAGCATGTTTAAAATAGGCAACCAGAAATGCAAATCAAAACTACAATGAGGTATCGCCTCACACCAGTTAGAATGGGCATCATCAGAAAATCTACAAACAACAAACGCAGGAGAGGGTGTGGAGAAAAGGGAACCCTCTTGTACTGTTGGTGGGAATGTAAATTGATACAGACACTATGGAGAACAGTATGGAGGCTCCTTAAAAAACTGAAAATAGAATTACCATATGACCCAGCAATCCCACTACAGGGCATATACCCAGAGAAAACCATAATTCAAAAAGACACATGCACCCCAATGTTCACAGCAGCACTATTTACAATAGCCAGGTCATGGAAGCAACCTAAATGTCCATCAACAGATGAATGGATAAACAAGATGTGATACATCTATACAATGGAATATTACTCAGCCATAAAAAGGAATGAAATTGGGTCATTTGTAGAGACGTGGATGGATCTAGAGACTGTCATACAGAGTGAAGTCAGAAAGAGAAAAACAAATATCATATATTAACACATATATGTGGAACCTAGAAAAATGGTACAGATGAACTGGTTTGCAGGGCAGAAATAGAGACACCGATGTAGGGAACAAACGTATGGACACCAAGGGGGGAAAATGGTGGGGGGGGGGGGGGGGGGAGGAAATGGGAGATTAGGATTGACATGTATACACTGATGTGTATAAAATGGATAACTAATAAGAACCTGCTGTATAAAAAAATAAATAAAATTCTAAAATTCAAAAGAAAAAAATAGGCAACCAAATTTTGGATATCCACAAAATTTTAAATTACCCATCACCCATTTTTCAAGACATGAGAAAACATTTTCTCTTCTTATAAAGTATAATTAGCTACTTTAACGCATTTATTTTAAACTTAAGTGCTTAGTTACACTACCTGTGTTGTTCATCCCACTGTTGTACTTTCGTGATATACGACATCTGCTTGAAAAGACAGTGAAAATGGAAATGGGGTGGTTCTTTTCATCTGGACCTCAACCGTATTCATCTTCAATATTCATAATGAATTTCTAGGGCTGATGATCGTAAAAAATAGATGGGATTCTGGGATATTTCTCCATGCACTTTAGGCTATTACTGTGCATGATAAAAAGGGATACTGAGGGTATCCACTTATCCCAACAGAAATAGTCATTAAGAATTTAGGTATTTAGGGTGTCCAAAAATGGTACAAAGTGGACTTGATGAATTATCTGAGCAGTCTGATCAATGCACAAAATCCAGGACCAAAAGCTGCTATAGGATCTAATCTGTTCAAACAAGACATGTGCACCAATGTGAGTTTTCAGACAATTCCCGGATCTTTGCTTCATTTTGAAGTTGCAGCTAGCGTCCCAGAGAAGCCAGCAGATTCTCCCCAGGTAGGTTGTAGTGTAATTGCTCTGAGGGTGTACGTGAGGAGGGAGCGAGGGGAGAAGTGGGGGTGATGGGGGACAGCGCGCTGAAAGCCCAGCTGAGAGATGTCCTCAGAGTTCAGTGCTGCCTTAAGCGTCTAATCCATGACACACAGGAGGCTCTGAGGCTCGGGGAAGAGAAGTTAACAAAAAGCATATTTTGTATGGGTAAAATCTACAAAGAGGTCCTGCTCTTTGGGCAATTCTATGTATACTCTGACTCCTAGTCGCTGTAATATAGAGTGTCTCTTTTTGCAAAATGAAGTCAGCCTACCATCTAGTTTCCTCCCAAAGGCACTTTCTACTTCTGAGTGATCGCTGCTGTGTAATTATCGTGTATCCCGGAAAAACTCTTCAGCCCTGCGAGAGAACGTGTGACCAGGACACACAGGACCCTGCAGCCAGGTAAACAGCAGGAGCAGCCTGTAGTTTTAGTGCTTCCTTTTCCCGGGAGAGCGCTCAATTGCCATCATCTAATTTGCTACATGCAGATAAGTAAGGAATCAAAACAAAAGTTCAAAAAGCCAAAGAATGTTGAATAACCAGGAAATCCTTTACTTGTGAATTCAAAACCAGGTTGCTTAAACACTGTGTTAACAGAATGTTTACAAAACCAGCAAAGGGCTAGATATTTTACAGAGCTGGCGGCCCCATGCCTTCCTGTGTATCTTGGAGGGTGATAAGATCCCTCCTAAGTTCATGTGAGCAAAAATCCTTTTTCAATTCTCTGCATCCTCTCTCCCCTAATCCTTACTTCAGTTCCACGGATGGCCCTTTAGAATTTAGTCAACACTAAGAGAAACCTGCAGTTTCCATTTGTAGATATTTTTTATTTATACACTTAATATCTACTTTTTTTTTAAAAAGAGTCAGCTCCCGGTTATCTATTCTCAAGTGAGATAATGTATGTGAAATGACTTACAAAGCCTGCAAAG